GGCATATATATGTCCACTCCTGTCAGTCTAGTCTGTCAGTCGTTACAGGCAGTTTTCACATTTCCAGTCCAAGTCATTTAAATCGTCTATCGTCATATTGTCAATGTCCATAATGTCCGTACATCGTCGGTGAAACCACCTGTCACATTCCTCACATCCAATCCAGTCGTCCGGTTTATCGTCATACTCATTCTTACATTTACTACATATATTTTGATTAATTATGGTATTTTGTTTGCTTTGACGTGTTTTCTTATTCTTTTCATTAGCCTCTCGTTCTCTACTCTTTTCCTCTCTCTTCCTTTTTCTTTCTTCTTTAGCCTCTTCCTCTTCTTTCTTTTTTTCTTCTTTCTCTCTCAGCATCTCACGATACGCGGCACCTGATATCACATGGGGGAGTCTTTTCTTTATTTTACTTTCATCCTGTTTTGATGTTCTCTTTGGATAGTGGAGATGCTCCTCCAAAGATGGAGACACATATGTCTCTGCCATCCCTGCGGCTGGTTTCGGATGAGCTACTGTTGGTTTCGGAGGAGCTTCCGTTGGTTTCTGAGGAGCTTCCGTTGGTTTCTGAGGAGCTGTTGTTGGTTTTGGGGGGAGAGGCGGCTTTGAGGCATTGTATAGTGCTGCCCACGCTGAATACATGGGATCCGCGATGTCATAACCCTCGTCAAGCCTGCGACGGTATAAGGCTATCATATCACCACTGAGGGTGGATTCAAGAGCAAGAAGGGCGGTCGTAGTAGATGTTGATGATTTTGATGATGTTGATGACTTTGATGATGTTGATGGCTGTGATGGTGGCGGCGTTGTTACTGATGAAGATGATTCTGTGTCGTGATATACTGTGGAGGGCAGCAATTTTTCGGCGTCTATGGCGGCTGGATTGAAAGGATATATTCCACATTTCCGAAATCCGGAAATGGCATTTTTCGACTTTGCGCCTTCTTTCCAAGCCGTTGCGAACACCGTCGAAAATGCCTGCTTGGTCACAACCTGGCCGGGATGCGTTATCATATACTCTCGTACAGCGTTGAACCAAGCGGACTTTACTGACTTATAAACAGCCACATCAAGTGGCTGAATCAGGTGGCTTGAGTGGGACGGCAAACAGTAAAGAATTATATCATTTTCCACACAAAAATCGACCGTCTCGATATTAATGTGGGATGCGTGCCCATCCACAAATAAAACTATTGGAAACTTAGTATTTAACGATTTAACATAAGGGTGGAAATGATTGGTAATGTACTCGTAAAAGATTTCAGAATTTATCCAGCCGCTCTTCGATTTTGCAAAGGAAGAGTCGGCTGGTGCGCCATCCAGGGGGTTGTAGGCAAAACGGACACCTGGGAATATGATCAACGGCGGGATGTATTGACCTGAAGCATTACATGCACCCACGACCGTGATCTGCTGCCGTGTTGATGCCGTTTGCTGGTACACGTTCTTCGCCCCCTTTGGCGCAATGACCCTCTCGGTCTTCCCTGCAAGAGGGAAGCCAATTTCGTCTGCATTAAACAGCCGATGAGGGTCACTAAAGACCTCCTCATTCCCGCTCGTAACCATGTATTCTTGGCACTCGTTGAACCATGCCTCGATTTTAGCCAGGGTGACATCTGCCCTCTCCCTTCCCAAGCCCTCCGGCAGCCTCATTGCCAAGTCTGGATGTCTCTTCATAAAGTTGGTCATCCATTTACGTCCTGGTAAATTATCTTTAAAAGGATTCGGGCGGCCATCTGCTATCATTATTTTCTGTACCATTAGTTTCAACTCTAACTGGGTCCGCCCATAGCCAATAGCTGCCATCCCCTTTGCCCACTCCACAAGTTTAAGTTCCTCCGCTTTAGTCAACACGGGGTTTGGTCCCTGTGTTGAATCAAGCGGAGTTTTTCCATTTACTTTATCTTGTAGAGTGGCTCGGGGGATGGCATACATACGAGCGGCCGCCCTAACAGAAATGTTACCCGCCCGAATCCTCTCTAGAGCAAGTTGAATATTCTCTTTCGTGTAAGTTTTGTACTTTCTTGCTGCAAAGAATCCTGGCATAATGATCTGTAGGGATTTAAAAAATAATGTTTTAATAAGTTGTATATATTAATATGTAATAAGTATTTAATATTATAAATTTTATAAAAAAAAAAAAAAACAGTGTCACATAGAATACCGTATGATATATCAAAAGACAAAAAAATTAAAGTTATACTCACATGAGTCCAAGAATGAACGTAAATAGTATGTTTGAAAAAAATACATACTTCAATCTATTGACTTCTGTTAGAAATTCGAAAAAAAGTTATAAAAATAAACCATCAAAGTTAATAAAAATGCTTGCTGTATGATTGTCCGATTCTAGCTGCAATTCCTTTAACGGCCATGTTGCCACTCAGTTGTATTTTTTTTATATTTTTGAATGGTAAAGTATATATATATATTTTTAACATTGTTATTCAATTTTAAA